TGCTTACTGCTACAGTGTTATCTTTGGAAGAAGTTCCTCTTGTTTCGTTGTCTAGTTCTGGAGGAATTAGCTTGTTGATTGGTCTTCCAAGATTTAGTTTTGAAGTTCTAGCATAGCTGATTTGGTTGCACCATCCTGGTCTTGAATTAGACTAGTTACGAGTTTTAGCGGCCGCTCAATTCGTGATATTACTTCATCCATGGTGAACCATTTCATCGACGCGTGGCTGCTTTCTGGTAAAGCTCTTCTGTTTGGTACGTGGCGGTACCTTCTTAATTCAAGAAGATACGGTGTATGCCAAGCTTGCAAGAAGATACGGTGTATGCCAAGCTTGCTCCTTAGAAGGGAGGTCGTACAGGGCAAGCCGCGCTTTTTCGAAACGGTTCTTTGCATGTTACAGGAACTCATGCGTAGACTGCAGAACCGTCCATTTTCGCTGAACGGCCCCGAGAAGGCCAAAAAATGGTGAGGAAATTTTCCGAGCATCAATCCCCCTGAGGACAAAATTTTTGCATTGTGGTTGATTTTTGCATTGTCCCGAATTTTCTCAAAATTGACAGTGCAAAAACTGGATATCGTTTTCGTTATCAGGGCCACTGGTAATTATAAAACTCAAACAAATGGATGTGGGATGTGGTGGAAAATATTTGTAACGCCAGAAGGGCGCCAAGTGGTGTCGAAGTAGCGTCTAAAAAAGTAAATGTCAGAGAAACCAACAAAGGGTGAGATTCACTACACCACCAACACAGCAAATGCACACAACAACCTGAACGTAAACCTTCAAACGAACCAAATAGACACAGTGCAGGAAATAGCCGCATTGTGCTCAAATGAGACCAGCGATTGCGCTCGCTTGATGATAGTTCCAGTGGCTCTTCCCAGTGATCATAACAATTGTAAAGAAACAATACTTGCCTTGTTGGACTCAGCTTCAGATAAGTCATTTATTCTAGCGTCATTAGCTCGAGGCATGATGTTGAAGGCACAGTCCGAGACAGTCATAACTGTCAATACTTTTGGAGGACGCAGAAAAAAAAGGTGAAACGCATCACTGCCGTTCTCTCAACCATGGTGAACGAATCACTATTGAATTCCTAACAAGCAAGAAAATTACACCGCCACTCCGACTTGGCGAGCTTTTTCCCCAAGACAAGCTTGCAATGAGGAACATATTCCCAGATTATCGAGACAATCTGATGGCAAAAACAATCACTTCACAGATACTGATATTGGAATTGATTATTTCAATTTAGTGATGAAAGCAAACGAGCCGGTAACTCGTCTTCCATCGAGACTCTCATTTCATCGACCATCTTCGGCCCAGTGATATCAGGTGTCTCCCACGAGAAGCATAGTCAGTGTGAAAAGGAACGTTTCTACGAAGATGCCATAGAAACCTATACAACTCATAACCAAATCGATCACACACTGAACCTCTCGGAATTATGGAAATTGCCAGGAGTAGGAACTGAAGAACTCTACATGTAAGAAGAACTGAACAATCAAATCACTGCTGAGTTTTACTCAACGGTAAAGATCCATGACGGAAAAATTTACATCAGATTTCCTTGGAAACCGAACAAATTCGATCTCGCAAGCAACTACACTTGCACTTAGTCGCCTTCATCAGCTATACAAGACCAAGGAAACAAATTCATGTTGGAACGACTATTGTAAGATTATTGAAGAGCAACTGGAAAAACAATTCACTAAAGGTGCGCCACATGTCCCGCAAGGAGCTAATCCATGCTACTATATGCCCCATCAAGCAGTGATCAAACCAGAAAGTGAAACCACGAAAACTAGAATCGTATTAGACGCATAATCAAAATTGAAAGGCGAACTGAGCCTCAATGACGTAATATATCAAGGCCCATTAATCCTCCCCAACCTTTGCGGTGTACTTCTCAGGTCAAGACTTGGAACAGATAATGATAGCGGATGTGGAAAAGGCATTTCACATGATACACCTTCAAGACTCCGAAAGGGTCTCAGTCCGCTTCTTATGGCTTAACGATACGGACAAGCCCCCAGTCCCGGAAAATATCCGCATCCTCAGATTTTGTAGATTACCGTTTGGCGTAAATGCTTCCCCAATTTTTGCTGAGAATCTCCATAAAATACGGAATCAGCCAACAACAAAAAGTGAGGTCTGCCAACAACCTGACGCATACCTCTATGTAGACAACGTTCTTGTGACCGATACCAATACGCAGTCACTGATTGAAAAATACAAAACGTGCAAGCAAATCTTCAACGGCATGTCCATGAACTTACGTCAGTTCATCGCTAATGACAAGGAATGCAATAGCTTGATCAAATCGGAAGACCTCCCAACAAGCAAGTTAATCAAAATTCTGGGTATCCCATGGAATCCAGTCAAAGACAATTTTTCCATAACATGCAAACTTCACTGCACGGCGAATCCAACCAAACGAATGGTGCTACAGGCCGTACATTCAACTTTCGATCCCCTCGGCTTTCTCCCTCCATTATTACTCAACGCAAAACATTTTTTACAAGACTAAGGAAGAAGGAGTTAAAATGGGACGAGTGCTAACCCCCGATCAAGACAACACATGGAAAGCCATCTGCGAAAACGTGTCGGGGTACGTCGCAGTGATCCCTCGCATGATAATACACTGCGCGGATGACGATCGGTATGAGTTACATACGTTCGTCGACGTGTCAACAAGATCGTTTGCCGCGTCGACTTACATGCGCGTGATTAACGATGAGGGCAAGGTACACACTTCACTTGCAATGGCAAGACACTGATTAGCACCAATAGATGGAAAATCAAAAATCGTTACTATTCTCCGTCTGGAGCTCTTAGGCATGGTGATTGGAACTCGACTTACCAATTTCATCCTTAAGGAAATTCCTCTAAAGATCAATGTAGAACATATTTATAGCGATTCGAAAGTCGTCCTTCGGGTGCAATCAAACAACAAGAATGGGATCTTTGTCGACAACCGATGTAAAGAAATTAGACAGAGACTGAAATTCTGGGTAGATGAAGGTATCACAACAAAGTTGTACTATATTACGCTGACACTAACCCCGCCGACTGTGCCAAGCATATGTGGTGGTCAGGACCGCCAGTTCTTGAATGCATTCAGCTCAAAGGGTCAGAGCTAGAGGAATCCTCTTGGCAAATTCACCAAGAAAACGAACCGACGGAGAGTCTCGTCATCAGTACATCAACAACGAGAAAAGATTCCCAGCACGAATCCGAAGAATCAATTTTTTCCAAAGAATACTCCTCAATTGGCAAGTATAAGAGAATAACTACTCTAGTCCTCAAATTCCTTAGGATCAAAGTCTATGATAAGTCAACATCAAAATCAAAAATAATCATAGAAGACCACATACCTGAAATCAAAAGCATAACCACGTACAGGCCCCTCTTCCTTCCCTTTAGAGCAAAACGTTTGCAGCGAGAAACACTTGAACCAATCTTCTTGCACCCAAGCCACTCAATCACTAAGGTCATCATTACGGACTGTTACACCCGTTGTGGAAAGGAGTGAATGAGACCCTGGCTGACTTACGCCTGCAATGCTGGGCCCCCAAAAGCCGTCAACTAGCAAAACAATGTCTCAACAAATGCGTAACGTGCAAAAAATGGGATGGCAAACCCTTTCTCTATCCGCATTCACCGCCGCTACCAAGCACACGCACGAGTCCGTCGCGCCCTTTCTCGCACGTGGGCGTCGATTTTGCAGGCCCGTTCTGCGTCGTCGATTCTGAAAAAAGAGAAAGTAAGGGATGGGTATTGTCGTGCACTTGTATGGTAACGAGAGCCGCACACTTGGAAACAGTACAAAGTCTGAATACGAAAGAACTGCTCGATGCCCTGCGACGATTCATAGCGCGAAGAGGAAAGCCAAAATTAGTTATATCTGACGATGCCACAAATTTCAAACTAGGAAAAGAAATAATCAGCCTTATAGAACACAGACCACGATTCACAGATACAATAGCACATCACTTCCTAGCAAATGGAGGGATAGAATGGAGATTCATCACAGCACTCTCACCATGGAGGGGCGGATTTTATGAACGTCTAAATGGCGTCATGAAATCAGTCATGAAAAAAGCGTTCGGGAGGAAATCCCCTTTGGCACACGAATTCGTGACACTAGTCACCGAGTGTGAGGCTATGGTGAATTCGAGGCCGCTCACATATACGGGAACTACCGTAGAAGACGCTTTAGTTTTGAGACCAGTCCACTTGCTTTTACCTTACACCAACATTTCCGCCTTCAACTCAATCACAGAAGAAGATATCGAGAAGGACCCTCATTATATGCCTACTATGTCAACGAGAGACCACGCAACTCAATATTTCGAAAGCCAACTGAGCTTCCTGCAAGGTCTATGGAAAACTGGAATAAAAACTATCTTTTGGAAATACGAACATTCCACCAAAGACAAATAACTCAAAAGAAGTACAAGAACAGTGCCAAAAGTGGGAGAGGTGGTATTTCTAATGGACGACTGGGAAAATTGGAAACAAGCCTTCAGTACGTCAATGGATTGAAAACATTATTCAAGTACTTCCAAGTTCAAGATGAGTCAAACCCACCGGAAAGCGACTTTGAGTTCCAGTTCCCAGAAATTCTTCACTTTCTGGAAATATGCAGGCAATTCCTGCTACAGACACTGCTAGCATTAGCTATCCTGCTAATCGCGGTCACAATCAGCGTGGGATACATAGGCTGATGCGCTTGCGGAGCACAACATTCCATGGAACGGCAAAGCAACGTTCTCAAGGCCCTTCAGTATTACTTCTTCCAAATCCGCGTAGCACTCGTTTTTTTTCATTTTCCTCAATTCATCTCGAAACTCTTGTGTCGACTACTGCTGTCGCCATGCTATTTAACACTCTCCATGATTCCCAAACCGCACTAGAAGATAACGTAAGTACCGTTTTCCAAACAAATTTCAAACTTCAATTTCAGAATGTGGAGCGCGAAGAGAAAATGGTTCCTAAGCTCGAAAATAACGGCCATGCAAATTCTGACACTGACGATGACGATGTATCTATGGTAGTCAACTTGCCGAGCATAGAACCGGAAGTCCCCCGCAATCAACTTTGCCGTATGGAAACGACACTGGACGAGGTCGCTGAACATGTCAAATGCGTGCATACAACGTCGCTGCCATCAAAGGTGATGTGGAATATAACAAATCTGTTATAACACCGCTTAACATGAATCATATTAAAAAGCGCAGTGCTGAGGAAGCTGAATCGTCACGCAGCAAGCAAGGAAGGAAGGAACTGTTGGAGATGGTCACGAGAAAGCTGGATATATTCGAGCATTTATCAAGGAGCATTTCAACAACCCGCACCATCAACAGAACGCAACGACCAGGGACAAGACGGACCGATTCCACCGTGTGCATTCTGCGATGAGTTTCACTTTACCACAGATTGCACCCGTTGCCCAACCACTTCTGTTTGTTACTATTGTAGAAAAGCGCATAGGACCGCGGAAATGAGCAAGCACCATTCGCTTTCTGTATATCGCTTCAAAATGTAGAGCCAGGAGCCGGGAGTTTTTTTTTCGAGGCGCACATTCAAACGTCCCAAATCCAAAAAAATTTCTGGGTGGGACAGTTCCACTCCACCCCTCCTAAGGTGGCTTACGCTCACTCCATTCACACATATCCTCGGGCACGTGAATGTGTGAGACGTGAACAACCAATGCAATGGGATCCACTGAACCTTCACCCAACTTAGTACATTCTGTGCGTCACATTAGAGGGAAAATATACCCACGACAGCTCAATCCGTCAATCCAACTTACGCTCATCTTGCGAATTGCCTTAAAAATGGACTTGTTTTCAAAATTGTTCACTTCGTCATTTACTCTCCTACGACAAATTACATGTTCATTGTAAACTTCAACTTGGAACCATTGTATTACAAAGTTCATTGAATAGATTTCAATATGGTCGACTGTTCGTGGTTCATGTTACTTCATATTGGTCGATTTGGGTAATCAATTGAAAACTTCACGCGTTTTCAATAAATACGGTCGATTACAATTGTTGAGAAAAATTCGTTTTTTTTTCAATAAATTGATTTGGTTCGATGTCCTCATCAAGATCAGAAAGTTGATAAAAATAGCGTTCCTCGGTGACTGAAGTCTAGTCACATTCAAATTATAAAACTTTCTTATGGAAAAAAAGAGAAAAATTTCAAAACTTTCAAGTTCAAACTTCCAAAACTTCAGAACTTCAAAAGTCAAACTTTAAAAAATTTCGAATTTTCCTAAGATACATAAACCTCAAACCTGAAGATCCTGAAATCTTACCGTTCCAAACCATCAACCTTCTCAACTCTCCATTGTGAAACTATGAGAAAAAAAAATCGCATATTCTCAAAAAAAAAACTCTGTGGTATATCGATATCTTAGTGCCTATTTCCAATCACCCGTTCCAATTCGTCTCGGATTGTGCGAATTCCTCATCGACGACTGCGGTGGCGACGCCTCCCACACATGCGAAGACACTTCACCAGTATTCTTCGTTGTGATCATAATATCTCAAATGTCGTTCTATGAGAATTGTATGGGTCCATACTCAAACCACCTCCACATCAACTGGCGCTTTCGCAATTCAGTAGTCGAGTATTCTCGGCATGTCATCGTCTCGTTCACGGGCGTCACGTCTTCTTGTTTCTGCCCAGAGTGTCATGAACCTCATGGTTCATGATGTATCATCAGTCCCGCTCCTTCCCTCCCGCCGGGGTATAAAAGAGAGTCTGGCGTCCTCACCGGGCGTTCAGCTCATCAGCAATCTCGCTTCGGCGACGATTGCCTAGACAAAGGAAAGTAGACCTCTCCGATCAAAGCAATTCAATCTAGAGCCAAGGACTCATTTGCGATCATGTTGATATCCGTTGTAGAATAAATGCAATTCCTTCAAAGGTGTTCGATGCAGCGTAAAGGAAGAGGTATACCCTCCAGTTGTACCCTGAACCCCGAGGCATATTCAAAATAAATGGAATGAGCAGGGTGAGAGACTGTCGGAGTTCATCATATCAACCAAAACCATCCATGGTAACTCTCAGTTCCAAAAGCCTCCTCACCTTCGTTGGACTTGGGAGTCACTTGATGGACAGTTCCATAACTTCCATAACGAGATAGACCACATCATCTTCAATCGAAGCTTCTGCCTGACCAACGTCGCTGTTGTTCCAAAGTTCCACACGGGTTCGGACCACCGTCTCCTCCGCGCAAAACTCCACTTCTCGATGCGTGTTGAGAGAGCTGCAAAGTTCATGAAGCGAAGCCCCAGGACAGTCATCAACTGGGTCCACTTCGCTTTCCTCGTCAGCTTATGGGAGGATTCCGTCATCGAAAACATCGACGAGGAGTACTATCGGCTCGTTGAACATCTTCACGATCTGTGAGCAGAAAGGCAGAGAGTTTGAAGTCACCAAAGGGACGTCTGCTCTCTGGAAACTCTCGAACTGATACGCCAGCGTGGAGCCGCACGAGCTGCAGGCAATCAC